AATCGGGAACTGAAAATTCCAGACGTGCGATGTTTTGAGCATTCACTTCCAGGTTTTTAAGAAAAGCGATAATGGTCTTTTGTTCGCGATAATATTACTGAACTTGCCTTGAAGGGTTTTATTTGATAAGTTGAGGTATTCAAAAACATCAACCAGATAAAACACGTACGACTAAGCTGTTGACGGTTTTATTTCCTAACCAGTTCCAGTAAGGAATATGATGATGGTGTCCCAGAATGCAATGAAACGGCGAAGACAATCGCCCTTGGAGACTCATCTAACTTCTGTATGCAACAGTAGAACCCGTTCTCCAAACACGGTTGCTGGAAAAGGCGATCATGAAGAGGTTGCGACTGAATAGTGTCAATTACTTATATATATATATATATATATATATATATATATATATATATATATATATATATATATATAATGATTTGGATGTACCCACGGACGCCGCGGATTTTGGGAGTACCATGCTGGATTCTGTTTTTGATTCGGGGTTACTGTGTTATACGTGATTTTGCTGTGAATTGTGCACCAAAATTTTTCTTTTGGTATATTTTTCAATCTGCGCAAACTTTGCAGATGTTCTCTGGATAATTTCGGAGTTCTCAGTGATTGGCCTAATTGCCGTCTGTGACCGCCACCTTGGATTTGTTCTACAGTAATCGGCCATCATGACCACCACACCGGTAACCCGAAAGGAAGTATTTGGTGCTAATCAAACTTGTGCTAAAGTAGGGTTGAGTTGTAGAAATTGCATTGACCGGTACCATTTGAAGTGCGTCAAGGTCTCTGTAACCGACATAAAGAAATGCAATACGCCGGGTTCACTTTGGTACTATCTGAAGTGTACGACTGTTCTACTAGTAAAATATGTACTAGCGTTAACACAAAAGTACGACAGCCTAGTCACCGAAACGGAACATCGTTTAACACATAAAAAGCTTCGCTCGATTGGACAACAGCGCATCTTGCACCTCATTCGTCTCCCTCAATTGCTGCCTTAAAACCAAGGAAAAGGGCCAGGCGTTCACGCGGCCACACAGTACTAGAAAGCGGGAACCACGAACCAAGTCGTAGTCGCGACCGGTAGAAGCATACTTAGCCCCACCGATCACATTCTCTTATCCAATGTATCGACTCATGCGGCACCGGTAACACTCACCCTTCCGATTGACCAACGAAATCCGAAGCGCTCTAAAGACCGAGCCATCTATGCAGCTGTTGCTGCTCGAACCAGTTCTTGTGGATTCATATCCATCAGGTCAGACAGAATTATTGATACTGAAAGAAAAGGTAATATTTTCACCAACGTCATGTGGACTGCAAACTTTAGCAATCAGCTTGTTGATTTTATAAGATGCCGTAAGTCCATTCGCCATATTTTTGACTTGTCAGAAATCCTTGTCTTTAAAGTTGGTCTGTTTTCGAAACTATCCGTCGGCTTTTTGAAAAAAAACAGACTTTCCGTTTTTATCCCTATAAACAGTTTCCAATTGGTTCTTCGGTTTACCTGGTAGTATACTTGCATGTGAAAGAGTGTTTTGGCAAATCAAACACAGGTAGATTGAACTTTTGAGGTGATGCGATAAATCCAAGTGACAGGGATTCAACGGAGTACAGCCAACACTCCATTGCCGTGGAGCTCATATCTGAAGTATGTTACTGTAAATTGTTAATAAGGATTATATATATATGTATATATATAGTTATTGTTTTATTATTCTTACACAGTTATATCATGGGTATTAAACTTGTAACATCTGTTGGTGGCTACATTGTTAAAATGTAAAAGTGTAGAAACACTGTGAGAGGTAACCCAATGGCGGTTTCTGATAGTGACTTTGAAAATATCGTCGATAGCTGAAATGACTACAGAGAAATGCTTGACAAAAGCCTATGAAGAAAGGTAAAAGAACTCAGAAAATGACAATGCTTACTGGACACATATGCAATAAAGCAAACTTGGGGCAAACAGTGACAACATGTAAAATGAAGGATAGAACAGACAAACACGAAAGAAAAAGCTGGACTGTTCAATAAATCGGTGTTGGAGAGTCAACAACGAAACTATTAACTTACATCAGCTATTGACAAACATGGCGACAAATGGGTACTGGCAAGTCATTCGATTATTATGGGTATTAGATGTATCCTTAAGTACACATTATGTTATATATAATCACCAAAGAAACCGAATGTGCACACGTATGACGTAAGTTGACAACACTGCGCGCTAATTGGAAAACTTCATCTGGACTGAACGTTAAGAAAGCGTTATAACGCGCCCTAGTTGTTTCCACTCTTAGTCGGAACGAACGAATGTTCTTCAAAGATAGTACACCACACGCGCAGATTAGGCACTGGAATTCGGAACGTTGCATGCAATCTGAGACTGGAGAGGAAAAACGTGTAACCTAGCCCTACTGCACTGAGACCCGAACGAGAAAGGCTGACCGGCACATGAGCCGTCGCATAGTGGGAGTGTCCTGAGGAAAACCCAGTTAGTGTCATTGTGGCTTTGTGCGGTAACTGCCGCAGTGATCTGATGAGAGTTCACTAGGATCACAGCAACTTGCACAGTAGATGTCTCAGTGACCTGAGTAAAGCTCAGTTGGTACACTGTGGATTGGCATCAAAGTCCTGAGGACGAATCGGTTGTTAGTCTAAGTCGCCGCATGGTGACTGTATGTTTGAAGTGAGCCCGGCGAAATCTGCGCAAATTTGGCGGAGCTATGCCAGCTCCGCAACAGAAACTCTGCCCGTCTGGCTATCACACACCCATTAACAGCAAATTGCGTGCGTGCAATTCATTTCATTAACCGGTAGTTACCAGAGGAGATTAGGGCGCGTTATTACAACCCACTTTTCCCCGTATGGTCACCTATGGCCCCCTAAAATGTTTTCTCATCCTAGGGCGCTTCAGGAAATCTATACGGCCTCCAGGGGGGCCATATGACTGGGTGGTTCGGGTTAATCCCGTTCGGTGACAGTGTTCCAGGACGTGGTGGATTTTCGCCGGACAAGCGTACTCCTTATAAAAAAGCATAAAGGTTCGTTCCAACTAAGAAAATAATCCCGGAAATGATATCAGAAGCAAAAGAAGGTTAGGCGAACAATCTTGTTTTCGGTGATTCGCTGTGTGCAGCGTTGAAGTGGGCCAGCAGATCTTCGATGCATACTCGACCATCCGCAACACAAAACATGTCATCAACCTAACGACCGTAGTAAACCAAGTTGTTGATACAATCGTTTAGCTGAGTGTTCTCCAACTTACTCATGAAGATATCGGCGAGTAGCGGTCCTAATTGCGAACCCATAGCTACCCCGTCTATTTGTCTGTAAACCGTCTCATTTAACTGAAACTGAATGTTCTTAGTGCACGCCACTACAAGTTGAATTAAACAGTCATTCGGGATACCGATGTTGATGCTGTGCAATTGGATAAACTCGCATAGTCAATGGTCTGTTCTAACGGGACGTGGGTGAAAAGTGACGCCACATCTAGTGAGAACATCTTCCGTCCAGTTAGATAGAGTTTTGTGTACAGCAACAACATAGTGTTCACCATAGGACTTGAATGTAACAACTCCTTGTCATTCTTAGATGTCCACATCGCCAGGACATCAGACGGAACAGTACAAAGGAGAGTACACAGAAAGACAACTTGGAGCGGCCAGTATACCCATTTCGCCAGGTTCGTTCCAATGAGTCAAAAACGCAACTTTATCCGTTGTCTAACGGAAAGAGCGAGAAAAATATGCATGGAAGATACGCTGTCGGATGAAATGAGTTTCATTCGAAGCGTTCTTGAACAACATGGTTATCCGGACAAATTCATCCGGAGGCACATGGAGCCACGAGCACCAAAAGTCCAACCAATCACCGCAGAAAAGCGCTTAATCTCCTTATCACTGCATTTTAAAGGTGATGTGATAGCAGAACGAACTAATTAAAGGCTTTGCAATGCAACCGCGAGAACCTGCTTTGCAGCTGACATCCGTGTCAGCTTCACTTCTACGCCAGTCGTGAGTCAACATCTCAAGGACAATATACCGAGGTCGAATATTTCGTTCTGTGTGTACCATTTTGCTTGCACGTGCCGAGCAAGTTAGATTGGAAAGGCGACCAGGCGACTGTCTGAGAGAGAGTCCGAGAACATTGCCCGGCGTGTCTCTACACTGATGTCAGAAAGACAGTAGTCAGCACGGTGCTGTGGCATTTGGTCGACTCATATCACCAAGTGAATGTGCGAAAGGTCTTCCGTCCTATCTACAAGATATCTGGACACCACATACGAGCCATCCGATGTCGCCTATTAGCGACAGCGGAGGCAATCGCTATTCGGCTCCATAATCCCGACTTATGTGCTCAAAATTAGTTTGTACAGGCACTACAGCTACCATGGCCTCAAGCTTCCCCACGTCATTACGTCACGCTTGACCCTTCCACTAATGATGCCCAAGCCAGTGTAGTCCCCTGATGTCATTGGCCGGTCAATTCACTTCATTGATTCGTCGAATTTAAATACAGTGTTTGTTTTATTCCTAGTTTCTGTGGTGTATCGGCCTGATGCGAACCACTGAAAACAAGCTTGTTCGCCTAACCCTCTTTTGCTTCAAATGTCCATTTAACAACACTGCGACGTGGGCGATATGACTGGTCCCTAAATAAAGTCACTGCCACTTCCCCTTCCGGAGGATCTTTCCCACTTCACGAACGTCATCCAGTTTGAAGGGTTCCTTTGATCGCTTCATACGATGGCGAACACATCAAACAAACTGACGAATTCAGTCACACTTCACAAGTTCACCCACCATATCCACTAACACATACACCTACACATATACAAACACACAAATCCAGCATGTTACTGGTTAAGTTACTAGATTTTTATAAAAGTACCGACCATACCTGTTTGTCTTCGCAGGTGTGCCTCGCACAGCCGGGAATCAAACATTTATTTAGTTAACGCTACTGAGCGGGAATAAGTAGTTAAAGTTAGCAGTATATTCCGTGTCAACACGAATGATCACAACTGACTGGTTCCAACATGGTTCCTAGCCTAGGCAACAAATGTAGATTTCGGCCGAATGAGAACGCAATAAACGGAAACAAAAGGCTGGAAACGTGTACTTGGAATACCTAAGTTTTACTTGAGGCGGAACTTCGAAAAATAAAAGAATGTTGTAAAAGTATGTGGTAACCACAAAAGGGCCACCAGTAATCAGGATAAACTACGGATTAAGACGAAAAACTTGCCGTAGAGAAAAGTACACAAGGCAGTGAGTGGTGAAAAGGATGCGTGCACGATGAAAAACCTGGACATTTTTGCCTTCTCACTGAGAACAGTATGATGCACCGATGGTCAGAGTAAGAAACTAAGTTACCGCAACTGACGGGATCTCATGGTTGTTTTCCTTCGTCACACGGAATGATAGGGGTGAGGAACATAATTTGGAGGTATGCTTATTCACAGGTTGGATGGCATCTTTGTCGAAAGCAGTGTCACTGCAGCCAAGCTGCAAATCGATCCCATGCATACTGCTGACACATGACGAGGTGGAATCTGGCGGCTCTGTGCACAGCTCGCCCTCCACAATTTGGTCAATCAAACGGGAGGTCTGATGTTCGATTTCGGCAACAACCTCGCTGAGTAAGTGCTCCAGCAGATCACTGGCCAGATCTTCACACACATCAATGATAGAAGTGGGTGTACGATTAGAATCGCGCATTATCATGCGAGATGTCTCCATCTTAGCCTGACGTTGAGCGGCCTCAGTTAGGATCCCACGATGAAGTCGCGTTGGTAAGCGTAACTTCATAAGGTCAGTTTCAGCTGTATTCGCAATGGGAGATATTGTTGCGACGGAGTCCTGAGGCGAAAAAGACACATTGGGGTCATAGACCTGGCGCGTGCAAGACAACATAGAAATCTATAATTTCTAGGGTGACTGGGAAAACGAATACCATTCGCAACTATGGGAGACCACGATGTCTAATTATCTTATTCGTTGACTATTCGAGTGCATTTCGAAAAATAATAGTTTGCTCTAAAGGAAAAACATCCTAAACATTAATCGAAAGCACGAGTAGTGTAGGTTTAAGGGTAATTAATGGTATAGTTCGTAGACGAACAGTCATCAGACGCGCGCTGATGCCAGTTGGTTCACCCACCCAGGTGGGCATTTAGGCGATCGGAAATCGCAAATCCGACCACGTGTTCACGTGGAGCTGAGGAGGCCTTTCCCACCCAGTAGAACGTACAGGCAGCACCAGCTTTATGCAACTTACCTTGCTCAGCGCCGCAATATCGATGTCGCAGGTTATCAGTTTCATTGCGACTAGTTCAGCGCGTCGCTCAGGACGTTCATTTGTATTCCGGTCGAGCGAAGTGCGCACGTTCCAGCATCCAATGTTGAGAGCTCTGCGCAGAGACATAGAATTGCATTGGCGGGCAACCGTATGGGATGGGAGAAAATAGGGGGTTAAGTGAAACGGGAACGGGGAGAGTATGTGCGGTGGACGAAGAAAGGGAGGCAGCAGTAGTAGCATATTTTCGCTTATCCAACCCCCTGTATGCAGCAGATAAGGCTACCATGCCACTGCGCGACGACCAATGCAGCATGGATTAATTATTATTGGCGTAATTCATGGTTGGGGGTTGGACTAGGATATTGCCACGGGCGCACACATCTTACAGGAGAACGACTCGGGTCATCAGCCAAAGTCCACGATAAAGTATACACAAGAAAGGCAGCGGGCCGAGCACCATGAGTCAGTGAACCAACTCACCCAGAATTGTGTCCTGGAACTTAGCTAGAAGAAAGGGGTAACCCAACTGCCACCTAGCGGTCGCCAAGAGGAGACGTTCAAAACATGAGCCAACAGCATAACATCAGCAATATCGGGTCGACGATCCGTCAGCATCTCATCACCACAAGCTTCAGCGCACCACGGCATCTTCCGAAAATTTGCCACTTTTATAAGCACGTACGGTCCGACCACGTGTTATCCTGATGAGACGCGTGATCAATTCTACACACAGTTATCATCCGTGATACGGTCTGTGCCGAAGAGCGACCATTTCTGCTGGGTGATTTCAACGAGCGCGAGATGTATCGGTGTGGACAGATGTTATCGGTCCACAGGGCGTTGGTTCAGCGCATGCGAATGATGACAGGCTGTTCTTACTGTGTGCAACTCACAGTCTGACGATCACGAGCACTCGGTTTGCACTGAGTACGAGTGATATAGCAACTTGGACGCACCCAAGAAGTGGTCACGCTCATCTGCTCGACTATGTCATCGTAGGTCAGCGTGACATGCGTGAAGGGTGCATGGCACATGTACTGCGTGGAGCTGAGTGTGGCACCGATCACAGGTTGGTGCGGACCAAACTGTACATATATATTTTCGTAAATCTATGTATTGCACTCCTGCCGTGAACTCGGTACTGGGGCGAAACGTATTGAGCTGGAGGCGATGGTTGCACGACGGCGTGATGTGAAGTGCATAACCAAATTCGGCGACCCGTGGCACCACTTTCGCGACCAGGTGACAGCTGCTGCCGAGGAGACCATCGGGTGCGTAAACTGTAAGCGGCCTGATTGGTTTGATGACAACAATGCGACGATTGGCGCATTGGTGTCTGAAAAGAATGCAGCATTGGCCGCACATGTGGCAGACCCCAGTGACATCGGGGAAGAAGAGTCAGTTTCGCAAAGTTCGACGGCGACTGACTCGAGAGCTCCGTCGCATTAAAAATGAATGGTGGACGGAGAAGGCAAAGCAGATGGAATGCTATGTCGAAGGTCGCCAAAATAAGGAATTCTTTAACTCCTTGAGAGCGGTGTATGGACTCACATTGCAGCCATTGAGGACGCTAATCGATGGTAATTCAGGCGCTGCCTGCACACAGACTGCAGACATAATGAAGATTTGGCGAAAACACTGACTGTCTCTTGAAAAACCGTTCAGAGATTGACTGGGCTACTTTGAACGGCCTGAAACAGCAGGAAGTGAAGGAGAGTTTGGCGGAGACGCCGACTGGGGATGAGACGCAGAGAGCACTTGCTCAGACGCGAAACGAACGGCAATTGTATCGATGCCAAAGGGATCCCGCCTGAAGTATTGGAACATGGCGGACCCGCGTTGGTGACCGCGCTGCACGTTTTGTGCAAGGTATGTGGATTGAGGAGGTGCCTCCTGAGCTGAAGGATGCCCTTGTGCTACCACATTACAATGGTAAAGGGAGCAAGCAATGTTGTGGCACCAACTTGCTGAGTTGAGTGGGCAAGGTGATTGCTCGAATCCTGCTCAACCGCATCGTAAGTCAGGTTGTGAAACCTAACATTGGCGGAAGAGCAATGTGGATTCCGTTCGGACCGTTACACCATAGATATGGTGTTTGCGGCTCGTCAGTTGCAGGAGAAGTGCAGAGAACGACACCAGCCGTTGTACTCGCTGTTTGTCGATTTCACTAAAGCATTTGATATGGTGAAGCGTGAGGTGTTGGGTAGGTATGGCTGTGCGAGTAAGTTAGTAAGTTTAATTGAATGTCTGCATAGTGGTATGCAGGCGAGGGTGCGGCAGAGTGGAGAGACCTCGGTGACTTTGTATCTGGTCTGAAGCAAGCGTGCGTCTTACCTCCTGGCCTGTTTAATATTTATCTTCATGCTATGATGTCTTGTGCTTACGGTGTTCGCGTGGAATACTGCACTGATGGTAGGTTTCTGAAAATCCGTTCGGTGCGAGAACCCTAATCTGTGAGACAACATTCCGTATGTTGCTGTTCGCCGATGACTGCGTGTTGTCCGCACACAGCGCAGATGAGTTGCAGCACATGACTAGTGCTCTGGCTTCGACAGCGGTCAAATCCGGGCTCACCAACAACGCAAGCAAAATTGTCTGTCTTTCAGCCTTCACACCGGAGGTGCAATCTTCAATATTGCCACAAATCAGTATTGGTGCTGAAGTATTAGAGACCACCACCCGCTTCTGCTATCTTGGGAGTGTGATGTCGACTGAACAGGAGATACACAGTGAGCTTCGTATGTGCGTATGGAAGGCAGCGGCGGCATTCGGGAGTCTTAAGTATCGAGTGTGGAACAACCACCAGCTAACCGTCGGCATGAAGCTGATGGTACACGAATACATGGTGCTGTCCGTTTTTCTAAACGGCAGCGAAACGTACCGGCGGGATGTGCGATATCTCGAGAGATTGCATCAACAGCGCGTGCGACGGATTCTGCGCACCGGTTGCTGTGACAGTTTCAGACACGGAGGCGTTGCCCCGAAATGGAATGTATGCAGTGGACTGCATACTTTTGCTGATACACTTGAAGTGGCTAGGTCATGTGTGGCGTCTAGATTCGACCCGGATACCGTAACAGCTGCTGTATGGCCAACTGAGTGCAGGGAAGCGGCATGTGGGAAAACCGAAGTTACGTTACCAGGACATGATCAAAGTGAGCCTATCACGTTCTAATGTTGATTACAGGTGGTGGGAATCGAAGGCGGTTGATCGGCGTACATGGCGCCACCTGATCACGAAGGCAGTTGCTGAGGTGCAAGAGAAAGCCCTTGTGCATGCAGAAGAAGCAGCAAGTGCGGAAGCGGTAGTCGCCGATGGGGTGTACTCCATCTACCTCGAGCGCTTGGCGCTGTAGCACATGCGGTCTTGAGTGCCTGAGTCAGGCAGATCTAGTGAGCCACGAACGAGGCCATTGGGCACATGCATCGAAACGACGACGGGTCCTGCTGAGAACGTAGGCAGAACCGGCGCAGAGTTTGTAGGTACGCTACATTTGATTTACTAACGGTGTGCTTGCGTGCTGAGTCACTTTATTTCAGGTGGCGGGCTTGCTATCTTGCCCTAATGCATATTCTCTTACCACTTCAATGTTTGCCTGAATAAACTAATAAATTGCAAATTTCGCCTAAACGAATGGTGCTTAACTTCCTTTTTATTCTCCATTTTGCATACGTTTCCCGTTCTGTTTATCTCCCATCTTCAATTTATCGCGCTTATGTTGATAATTCATCTATATTATGTGTTAATTTAGCGGCATCTCCGTATGGCGTTTACGACCAATTTTATTGGTTTTTATATTTCATGTGATTGACTGCTTCTTCACATCCCTGATGTAGCTTTGTTTGATGTGGAAATTGATAAGGTGCCTATCTGTCTATGATCCACCACCTCGTCTATACTTGCTATAGGAGACAGTTAGTCGTTTATGGAGGGGACGGGGTGCACGGTCCTTGTGGTCGTGCTAGGCTCGAAGAGTGGTTCCATGCACTCAGTGTGGAGCGGACTACGGTCGAGCCACCGCATTGTGTGTGCGCTTGATTCCCCAATTACAGTGTGCTTGTGTTTGCCTGTGAAGGAGTGTGGGCCGGCTCCGTTGATGAAACGTGGCTCCCATCCGCATGCCTCCCGGTCTTATTCCTTCGGGTTTACACTTGACATGGGGTGTGTGGCTGGAGCTGTGGGTGGTGCAGCGCAAGCCACCCATGGTCCCTCCATAGGCGCAGGCGTCCTGTGGCTGGCCACAGTGACAGGCAAATCCGGAACCGGATGCCACCAATCAATAGTTTAGTTCACTTTAGTAACTATGATTTATGCACCGAAGGGTGTACCCCGCTGCCTTGACAGGCGTCACCGGAATAAGAAACGTAATAATAAAAATAAATAAAAAAATAACTTAAGAGGGACGAGTGCGAAACTACATTGAAAAATCGGAAAGTTAAAGATAAGAAATAAGGGAAAGAATGCACCAGCTCAACTGACTTCGCGATTATGTCACAGTTGGTAGAGTATCTGGTCATTGATATGCCCGAATCCACATGCAGTTCTACCATGTCATTTGCGGAGCGTTGTTAAGCAGCAGGCTGGCTAGTATGTACACAACATGACCGAGTCCCGAAGACAATTCGAATTCAAAAGAAACTCCAATGAGACACCCGACGGTGAACTTCAGTGCTAGTAAATCGGTCCTCTCACCATACGTAAGCAACACCATATAGGCACCGCTAGTGAAAACCGACCACCCTCGTAATGCTCGCAATGGGTAGCGATAAGATCTCCGATCTGTGCAATATCAGTGATTGCACTAAAGTGGCAAAGTCTTAATCAATAGGGCTGTATGCCACTGTCTCCATAGGTGACTGAAGCTTGGGAAATCCACGCGACCCTTGGAAACGTGTAGGGAAATCTCCTTAGTGAGGTGGCCATCAGAAGTGGTGCGTTAACCCAAGTAAGTAAATTTATCGACAAGTCCGGGTCGAATTGTGATCTCCCTGGGGTGTCACATACAGCTTTGGAAGATGTAAAACAATGGGTGTCTTTCGACCTGTGACCAGGAACAACAGCAGGTGGGACTTGGGAGGTGCTGCAGCTTTTTGACCAGTAGGTGTTTAGACTCAGAAGGATGGTAGCAAACCACTGGATGGTGCTTCCTCACCGTCAGAGAGATCGCGCGGTGTATGTGCTCTAACGCGAGTTGGGATGAACTTCACGGAGATAAGTTTTGAAGGAAGAGGGTCATGGACTTCCCGCAACTACTAAAAACGATTACGAGATTTAGTCACACACCTAATTATTGACATCTGGTGTGATTGGCACTTGAAGGCCCCTGCAAAGTGACACCCAGCGTAGCTCCATGGGTAACGGAGGCACGCAAGTGACCGCACAACGTTACCGTCCAGTCCTGTTGTAATGGCTTCAATCTAACCCAGTTTGTTGGAATGTTAATGAGATTTCAACTGGTTGGACAGTCGAGTGGAGAATCGCATGGTTACGCATAAGTTATTATGCAGCATGGTTCTGCATATGTGCAATGGATGATAGAAATGACATGGAACACAAGGCTGCATACTTGCCTCGCTGGTTTCTGAAACGCACTCAGAAATTCCAAGTTGTTTGACCAGCGTGTGCAAATAAATGAGTGGATATATGTCAAGACTAGAGAGAAACGCTCCCGTTTAGGAAACGATCATTTGCACGAAAGAAGAGTTGTAAAGTAGGATCAACAATGAGCCACTTTAATGCAAAAAATGTTTAAACTAAATAACTGATGCAACCATACCACAGAACCTATACACATGCCGTATGGAAAGCATCAGATCAACTGGACCTTCGTTTTGGAATGAGAATAGTGTGTTGAATGAAATAGAATTAGGTGGACATTTGGCGCATAACGGCCAGTACTCAGTTTAATGGCTGTGACAGTTGTTGAATATGGAGGTGGTTTTTAGTGAGTATAAATCGTGTATACAGTAAAGCTGAAGCACCTGATCACCGCAATGAGTAAAAGATCGAAGTAATCCAATGAACACTGGTTTGGAAGACCATTCACTTTGGCAGCATTGCTGGTCGTTTTTCAACAGTGAAGTGTAACAATTCATTAACAGACTTACGCCACGAAACGCGACAGGATCGTCAGTCGAAGTGGCCAGCGGTGTTGGAACTGATGTACGACTGAAGGACTTCCGAAAAGAAACCCCTTTGGGCTGAAATTGATCGGAAGGACCGGGTTCGCTGCTTTGGAAGATAAAAGAAACCATTAGACCACGATTACAACCATTTGATCAATGAACATGTTATTGAGGTATGTGGGGAAAAACGGCGAATTGGGGAGGTTGACGTAATGTGTGTATCGAGGAAAAGCATTGGGCCAAACGGATGACAGGAGAGTACACGTTAGAGTGTACAACGCAAACCATCGCGTAAGTCTAACTCATAGTGCAACAGCCGCTAGATGAACTCAGGACATGAAGAATGGCGAGTGCCACCAGCAGTGGCCTCCAAGTTGCCGTGTAGAATTGGCAAAACAGAATAAAAAAAATCAGATGCAACATGTAAATAAAATGTTCAGCTTAGACCCTAACCCGAGAAGTAAGCCAATGTGAGAAGCAACGGCGCGTCTGTCTGTCGATCGATCACGACCACTAGGATGATGTAACCATAGCAGGCCATCAGTGTTTTCAAGGTGGTAATCATGGATCATCATCTAAATCCGAAAAAAAACAATCAAACGCGTGTACAAATCACTACCAAATCGAAATGACTCAGGGACACAATGCTCAGACGGTCTTCTGATCACCAAAAACAGGACTGACATGCTTGAGAACGGCATCACAGGCACCATAGATAGTCAACTGAGGCTGCTTGTCCTCGATATAATTCACTACGTTTACATGTGGTGCAGAACAGGGAAATGGTGCCTAGTCCTATAGAAAACTGTGCCCTAAATTCAAAATGCTCGCGAGCAAGTTTGTTTCCTTCCTTGAGATCAGGTACAGTCAGGTGACTGACATATGGAAAACAAGTGCAAGAAACAGACGCCAGCGGGTCGAATCGAAGTCAGCCGATAGCGTTTTGAAACATATTGATGTAGAATGGAGGACGCACCGGAAAATGTGACACATCTTCTAATTTAAAGATGAAGCTGCAGAATTTTGACGAGGTGTTAATATTATTTTGAATACATCAATCATCAATGACTAAAAGAGCTACAACAACTCTGGTGATCAAATAGACGAAGAGTGCAGTGTACAAGCAGCGAGGCGTGTTGACTTTAGACTTTCGAAATCGTCAGAACATAAGACTTGGTGTTATCGCTCGATGAAAGAGCAAAATGTCTCGGTTCTATCCGTAACATCCTTTGTTCTATGCTGTCTTGAGCACACGGGGAATGTACCTGGTGTTTAATCGCTGTGTACATCTACACACAACACACAATCGGTGCTCGAATGAGTTTCCGGGACACATGGCATACTTGATGCATGGAGGACAGACAGGATGAGACAAATGTAACGTTCCACAAGCGAATCCGTCGTCTCTTGAGTGCACGTGTTTGGTGAGCAGTTGGTCGCATCCCAAGAAACTGTTCTACACGCTTGTGGTTAATTAAGTAAGCAGCTGGACAACCGTTGAAAGTAGATTAAGCATGATCCTGTTGATGTTTCAGTTGGTTTCAATCAGTGCACATGGGCAGAAATGTTGTCGAAGAGTCACTTTTGGTTGTAACCGAGTGCATGACTGAACTGAGGCACATGCGATATTCACCCGATTTTTCTTTCCATCTACTAACGAACATCGCAGTGGGGAGTTTGATCTGTCGAATCACAACTGTCCTTCGCGATTTGTCCCATTTTCTTGCCCTATGATGGACGAAACGGTTGCAGTGTCCTGCGTCAAGGATTCAGAGTACATTACGACGAAATGTTGGTATTCGCTTCGTATAAGTTCGACACTTGTGGGGCACTTAATTTGGTACAGTGTGTTGGGGCAGATGTATCCACATTAGAGTTCTGTTGCTGCGAATTCACTCTTTCTGTACTCTGAGTAAAGTGTAAAGCTCAGAGAACCACCCAGCATCTAAATGAGGCTACTTTGCATTCGGCTTTTCATTTGATCGACTTCTCTAGTGCGTCTCTGTTTTGCAACTTACGAGACAATTACCGGTGACATATTTGGGCAACTAAAAAGAGAGATCAAACCTCTCTGATATCTTAAGGTAGGGTAAAGGGTGCCTTAGTTACCCACAGAGCACTATTACGAAATGGCTGAAGGACCTAATCAGGTCAACTCAGCTTCTGACCCTCATACTGAACTTGGAGTGTGTGTACATCGGCAAAAATGGTTGATCTATCGGGGTACTGGCTATGTTCCTGCTATTCTGTGGTTGGGAGCTTGGATTAAGGGTTTTGTACGCGGACATCAATCGTTCTCCTATCTGAGTTTGGGGTCCATAGTGTCAACCAATGCTACACGCCAAGTTGGCGGTTGTATGACAGTGGAGAAGTAACAAAGCATGGATGTGTTGCTGATGAATCCACTGTGATATTGCGTGAACAGTGTCATATAAATATGCTTAGAAGCAGTTATGTTTCGGCCATACCCCTACCACATGAGTGGAACCAAGTATGAGACCGTTTCTGGAGTGCAGTGTTGCTGTGAGCTGCTAACACGGAACCACCGGTATTGCAAAATTCTTTTACCGCATGTAGCGAACAAATTAAGCAGAAACTGGGGAATTAAATGCTTAAATTGTGTTAACCAGCTTTGGTAACCTATAAAAACTGTAAAAAGTGTGAGGAACTCTTTGTTTTTTGCCTTGACGGACCGATTTTTCGGGTAACTTGTAAGGGGCTTGGATAACCCGGATATAACTTAGTGATCTGCGTGCCGAATTGTCAGCCGTGCGGCTGGGGTTCGAATGCTGGGTGCACCGCCGGTCCGGCAGCACAGTCTAAAATTGGAACGGTACAGAGAAGACTGTGATGGCCCGTGCGCAATGATGACATTCAAAATTTAAAACTTTAAAATTGTTTTACGCCTGAATCTCTACAGGAAGGCTTCTCCACATTCCAAGGTCATAGTTGCATTTTATCCTAGGTTCGGATGGAACACCAAGGTATATGTTTGCGTAACATCGCCTAGCAGATTTAATTGCGGCCAGTTTTCCTTCATTTCGTGCTCGTGAGACATTAGCGAGCTACCATATAGCTTGCGCGGAATTCATTAACTATGGAGGCTCACACGGAATAATCACTTAAGGTCCCACAGCTTCGGATTTATGTGGTTCATGAGATGTTTAGTAGCTAGTTACGGCATGAAATTGCTCATATCCTTTGCCGTTAAGCGGAAATCCGTGGTAGAACAATCTTAACTTTGAATAGCCGCTGTCCTCTGATCTACCGCGCGCATTACAAAGTTCGCGGGGTAGAAGAATTCCCCGCTATCCGGAACAACCACCACCAATATCCCCGTCATGTTGGGCTACTGAGTCAACAACTCGAAAGTTGCATATTCGAATGCACCACAACGAAACACACCGTCATTTGTGAGTGACATCAAACAATATACGTGAGAGCATTGCGGGTGTCGATTTGTCAGGTTGGTGTAACTTTGTTAAAAGAATAACTTGACCCTGAAGGGTCAGATTTTGGACAGCTCGATAATCAAGTGAAGAACAGGAACCCTAGTTAAGTAGTTAACGACATACATGTCGACCTTTGGTGTGGCCTGTGTGTGTGTGCGTGTGTGTAAGTACTGCCTGCCGGGTGATTGCCGCCAACAAAGAACTCAGGTAGCGCGCCTGACAATGGGTTACTGATGACAGGACGCTGATGCATTCTGTGTGGGCACAAGTAAGGATAGCAGAACATCATTAGTATCAAGCAGGCCTCTGAGAGTCTAGACAGCAATCAAAACCTGTTATTCGAAAGGTGTTAAATTATTTATACTGTACAATCATTTGAAGCAGTATACAAATGCGACGGCTTCTCACTAATTATTTCTTTCATACCATCTGCAGATGTACATTGGTGCGTACGCGTTGTGTAGCTATTGTCTTCTGTCTAAAGCTACGTTGAACTTGACCCATGATTGAATGCGCCAGTTATTCATTGTTTATCTGGTCCGTGAGAGCGGTATTTGGTTCGGTTTCTGTGCAATAGTGACCCGCCACCTCTACATCATGCATGGTGAACAACCGGTTGCCTTTGAATCCTGTGCCATGTGGCATGGGTCTGGGGATCGGTTGACGCATATGCGCTGCTCGCCTGCGGCTATTCGAGCGAATCCGTTTCGCCTTTGTGCGCCCGCCCAAGCAGCGTCTCGTTCTGCTTTGCCCCCGCCTCAGTCAGTTCGCATCGGCCACAATTGGCTCGTTCCTTGTATACTTACGCTACATTGAGCACATGCAGTCAAAAGAGTAGCTGCCACCACAATTAATGTCGCGGCTGATGCAATGTAGACCATGGACTAAAGGAAGGTTAGTGATTTGATCGGAAAAGGTATAAGGCAACCCTTATGAAACTGCACAACAACCCATATTGGAAACGCTTGGAGTTTATTGGAGTAGTAACGCTTGCGTGTGAGCCAGGATAATTCCGGCACGATCAACTCCAAAGTATCAGAACCGATGAGTGGTTATAGGGAAATGGGTCTCAAGACAGGTTATTTAGCAGAATTGAACTCCACTCCAGTTGCAGTCTCCAAAATTTGAGGATCAGGAGACTCTGAGGATGGCTAAGATCCGCCCATAGAAAGTTCTGGTAGAAATGGTTCCCGACACAATTAATAATAGACGGAGAGGTACACACAGTGTTATGCCATTTTGGTGTCGAATCTCGTCGCGATTGAAGTGCAAATGCGCTAGGAGAATACGTGTCATGTGTTTCGGAAACGTTGCATATCGACCACGAGAGAGCGCAAGAGCATGGCCAGTCTGACACAGGGTGAGGGCAATGAAAGGCTCAACCGGGTGCATTGCGGACACAGTCGCAAAACGACATATCGGTAAAGAAAGATGAAAATGTCGATTCAATAGGCCGGTATATGTATAGTAACATACATAAATGTGAAACTGAGAGAATCCATGTGATCAGTTCATGATACTTAGTACCAGATCGAGGAACATGAAGGGTCGCAAGCAAACTGTAAAGAAGGTAACAATGAGTGTGTATTCGGTCTATTGTGCAATAAAGTGAGGTTAAAAAAGATAGCAGGAAAATGAGAAACCTAATAAATAGATTTAAACTGTGACTTGGCACTATGACCGAATCAATACGAGGCAAAGATGTATGTGCGTTGGTTGTTCAACACTGTAGGATGGCAATAGAAGTAGCGGAATGCACAAAAACTCTCAAATAGGTGGAACAGAGAACGCACAGGTTTTACCTACAGGAATGACTCAAGATAATTCGTTCGAAAAGCGATATTATTCACTTACCATGCGAGTGCACGGTCTTCGTTATTTACTGAATCTGTTTCGTTGTGGACAGACTTGTCAACAGACACAGATGATAAGTGCGTCCACCGACGACGTATTGCCTCCTCTTCAAGGTGTACTTTGTGCAACTGTTCCAAAAGAGAATCCGTCTCGATAGGAGGATGAGGTGCGATCGCTGGTTCGTCTGATGTGAACAGAACAGCATTGGTCAGCGGTAAGAGCCAAGTGAGAAGCAAGCGCAAAGCGAGGGGACCACTTCAAACAAAGACACTGAAAAATGACTAAGGGGCAAGGTGAGCGGATAAGTGAAACCAAAAGGCTGCAGATTGGGCTCTGCGCGCACGTGGGAAGATGGCTTTGCGTTTACACTGAAATCAAAACCGCCACATAGTGGCACGGATAACAGTGTGCGGACGCACCGGTGAAACATGCTTTAAAAGAAATGCCATCAGTTGTTGATGATAGGCGTTCAAGAAGTCAACACATAAATTACAGGCCGATGACACACATGAACCCCGGTGTTTCACAAGCCAATGGGCAGGTCGAAATAGCCTGGTCACAAATCAACATACCCGGAAGATCAGTAGGTGTACTCTTCAAAGAATCTAGAAATCCATAAGTATAAGAAGTTCATCAGACGGTCATGAGCAGCCCAGAATGAGCATTAAGTGAACTTATTGCAAAATGCAAACTGGCGTGAGCCTGGTGCTCGTATCAATCGGAATTGGAGAGGAAAACAACGAGAACACAAAGTGCGCGACTATAGTGCTCATTGAATCGCAGTCGAAGTGACTTTGCACCCAAACGCGTACACCATAAATGGGCAGGGTGAAATGGTGCAATACTCGCGTACCCAATGATAGAATAGAACGATAGATACAACATGAACTACGATGTGATGCGCAGCAAGCGACAGACGAATAGAGTGCCGATCGAATTTCGACCAGGCTGACAATAATCGCAACCAGATGACAAGACAATGCAGCAGGTGACTTTGAGTGAAAAGACTGCAAACGGTTGAGCCACGTGCAGTCCAAAGGTCGTTCAACTGCAGCGGAGTCGACGAACAGATGTTATGCCGAACCAGTAAGTGTTAACCCAAAGCTGGAGTGGGACAATCGGCTATACAGTGTGCGCATCGAGATGGTTATTTGGTGATCTATCTGACAGGACAGACTGGCTTTACCATCATAGAAGCCCACTTGGCTACATGTCTCGCGAAAGTTCAGGCAGGTTTAAATGATACCTGGAGTAGTATCCCGCTGACAATGTCACAGACTGATGCACATGACTGTATTGCACAACGTCAGGGTTCCGTCCAACTAACCTGGTTTGCGCGAATCGCTAGATGGCGACAAATTCTTTATGTTATTCATCACGTCATCATAGTGAACTGATAATTCTAACTAGAGAAAGAAACGTAACGAAGCGGGTGACTAGAGGGAGCACCTGAAAAGACGCAAAATAACACAAATAGTAAATCGTAATACTCACAGGGAGGTATGTGCACAGCAGTGGAAGAATCACCAAGTCCGTCAGTGTGAGATGTTGCGGTGGTTGCATCCGCAGTGACATGTGATCGAGAAAGTGAGACGGGTGGCGGGTAGTTCAAATCTTGAATCTGCTGAAAAAGCAAAACAAAGAAATTTGCGGCTACTAGGAAGCGTGGTCTCTAAAACCCAAACATCCTGTCAATATTCTGCCAAGATGTCATTTTGCGTGGCAGGAGAGGAACGGTAAGACGCAAATGGTTGTGAGCCTAAACGGTAGAAACCAAGCGCAAAGCTAAGAAATGGAGCTTCCACGACCACTTGAGTCGTGCTCAGCTCGGTTAGCTTCAGGTGTCAACAGCAGAATCCCACTTGACCGCATCTCGGAACGACCAGGTGGGATGAACAACATGACTGGAAAAAAGAGACTAGGGTTGCCTTTAGTCGATCTAGTAAGGTCAGGAATACTGCAAGGGTGCAGGATGAAGCTATCAGGAACAACGCATGCAATCTCAGTGTCTAGACCCGAAAACGGATCTCAAGTCGTCCGAGCATGGTGCATTGTGGAAATTGCGCACGGAAATGAGGTCATTATCATGAGTACACGTTAGCTAAAGGTGGGAAAAGCCTCGGCTCTAGTGTGACAATACAATGTTGTAAGATATCCCAAAAAACCATAATTACAAGTTAGATAAAGGCTAGAAACAATCCAACTGTTGCGCCACAACACAAAAAGATATATGAAAAAGCGTGAAGAGAAACACTACGAAATACAAAATAAAATTTCAAAGCAGATAATGTAACGCTTAGTATCACATTAAGCACCGAATGTGAGATCTCGATTGGAGGGGAAATAATAAGCGGGGAAGTGAGGGTTAAATAAACTAACAACACAAATGTCTTGTCGACAAGTGCGTCCAACCTGGCTATGATACCATATTCAAACAACAGTATTTCCAGAGAAAAATGTGGCACGCGCGAGATATTCTAACACGAAGAATAATCACCGTGTGGATAGAATCAAGCGAATATCTACAAAGACAACACGACCATAGTTTAAGACAAGAAATTCGGTTGACGTCACCAATCGCACCAGTGTTGGTTTCGGAGATTAGACAACATTTCAATTAGTAATTGAGTATAAACCAGGGTTGCACGGCGGTGAAGTGAAGGAAAGTCGTCATCATTGTACATGTTAGATGCAGGAGGAAAACACCTCGGCTATTGTGCCGCAACACTAAAGAAAAGAAAAAGATAAAAGAGGCACGCCGGCTGAGTCGTTAGTAGCGATGGACATCGTTCCAAAGAGCAAACAGCCAGCTATTGTGCCGAAAAGTAGTCATATTACGCCTAATAATGCAGATCGGGTTTCGAGGGGTGGGGACAAAGAAATTCACAACACGAACGCCATTGAGGTCGGCTCCTAGCCATGTCAGCAAGAGTACCGAGCCACAACTGTTCATCGTTGTTCGGTCCCCAACCAGGGAGCCGAAAGGCACCAACCGAGGGCAACTTCGAAGTAAGGGCCTTCATTCCACTAGACTAGGGGTTCCCAACCGGGGGTAATTACCCCAAAGGGGTAAAATGGCATTTTGCGGGGGGTAAATATTAGTACGAGAATTGGGCCATCAATCGGTCGCCAAACAAGTTTAATAACAAACTCATCCGTATCAAAACATGTCGCTAACTACCTATGCACTTCGGATTATCCATCAGTGACCAGTCATTAGTCACTGCAACCAGATGACGCTTCTATCGGCTCCCGTGCTATCGTCAAGCAGTCGTTCGCCGGGTCGAATTATGGAGTCCATTGCCAACTACACTTTTTACCAGTCAATTGGATCCATAACGGAATCAAGCTCCTCCTCAAGAATATTCAACTGAATACACAAGCACATAAAGTTGAATCTAAAGTGGCGCACACGCACAAATGCGTGCCCATCCTCTTGACCAATTTCAAATCAGTGCAAGAGTACTCAAACATCTGCATCGGTTGGTGCAGCGGTTAGACTGCGCTCAGCCAACAAACCACGTGATGCACATGCGGACGTGAAAACAACACGTGAGCTCAGTCACTGTAGAATGCGGAGCGGACTAGAACGCGGCATCTATGGATGGTTGATGAAGTACTGTAACTCATCCACTCACTTGTGCGGCATCAAGACACACAACACAGAACTGGGGGGCCGATATTCCATCCGCGTTCATAGTGCTCACTGTTGCGCGCAGACGACCAGACATGAAATGTGCTCCACATTGTGACAGTATCGATTGCCTTCACTGAAGGTAGTTGCACGCAAGCCAGCAGACAAGTCCGTCAACCTCACCCGGTTTGACCTATGCTTAGCGGTGTCTACGTATCATCGGGTATGGTTAATAGTGGCTAGGTGAAATAATTAATGCGTGTGGTGCTCCACTACGCGCTATCATGGAACAATGCGTTAGTTATCGGTGGGTGTGGCCGAATTACCTGTTAATTGCAGTTGATCGCTTAATGATGATGTTAGCATCAGCATCTGCACAGCAATGCATGATGTATTACAGTGAGTTTTGCGGAAGGGTACCGCGTTAACTGTGATGTTACCGGGTTGGCAAAAGCTTACATTTAATGGTGTATATGCAGCCGTTGACAGGGTGAAGGAATACGTTTGTAAAGAAGCGTCATGAGTTCGTGTGAAACGAAAATGAAACGATGGTCTATGGTAACGTTAGCGCACTCTTCGCCAATGTGCCAAAATGCGACGCACTGGGTACGGTGAAACACTGTTTGACTGGAGATTAACCTAGGGAGTGGCCGAAGCTTAAGGTGGTTGAAACAACCGAGAGTAAGACATTGCGCCGTACATTGTTCTAGCTCGGGTTTCAGTCGGAAGTATGCACTCAAGAACATGGTGTTATCATTAGATCGTCAATGCCCACTATTTTGTACCTAATACTGGCAAACTCCAGTAAATGGCCAAAAGTTGTTGGTATCAAATGGATGGCACAATATGAACAAAAGTGGATAAGAAAAGCTAGCTTTTGAGGAATCTGAAATCGCTCACCATGGAGTGGCATATCGCCATTCCTTGACTGCTCTGTTTACAAGAATGATTAGCCGGCGGACACAGATGGGACACAGCACTACAATTCCGGTCTCTATGTTTCACAGATAAGGCCATGTGCACAGAGAAGGAAGTTGGGAACGCCGCTTGCAAGTAAACAGTAATGTAATTGCTGAATAGTGGACACCCGAAACCGGTAGTGAAACACGTTTCACAATATTCCAAAACCACATTGAAAATATACGGCGGAATGGATTGGAACGATAAGAATATCATAGGTAGAAGGAACTTCCTTTCCGACGGCACTAACCAAGGAACAAGATTCGGTATCTGTTTAACAATGGTGTATCTGAAAGACACTTCTCGTAGGTAAGATGACTAACTGCGTTGACAAACGTACTCGCAACAACTGTGAATATGTGCGTATAGAACATACTCTGAGCAAACTGCACACAACATCGCTAGAACACCTGAGGCGCATGTCACGAGGACGTCTAAGTATAATGCTCTACTGTGAGATTCAGCGGTGGCGACGCACATGTTAGATACAATGCATGTAAGGTGGCCAGATTATTGGTGAGTCAAAGCGAGGCGCTTCCAGGTTTCTTGCACGCCAAACTGGGACACAACCTACCCCCGTTTGTTTCCGCATATGTTGACCGTATAACAAATTGAACGAATAAATATCCACATTTATTGCTTCAATGCAATAACAAAAAGTACTTACGTTATTAGTCAGTACAATGACTGCGCTACTGAGGTTACACATAAGTAAATAAATGGGATATTCTCGATAGAAGAAGGCAACCAAGTGAAGGCATGATCAAATATACCTACAAGCATAGCTGCTTTGGAACCGTAAAACGTATTGTTAAAACAAAGTAAAACCGAAATTTTCGTAGTTGCTACAATCGAGAAGTTCATCGGATAATAGTGGGATCCAGGAACATTATGGCGCTGGTTTGCGAAAAAATCGAGGTTATTACTATAGTGGCAACAGCCAACATTCGGAGTGATTTCGCCCTGTTGTAATCCATGGTTTCATAAGCACAGGAGCCGAAGTAACATGTCATTACATGTGTTTCCGATTAGAAGTTGGTGTGCTGCGTGACATCATATTATCTGGAACCACAGTTATCGAGCAATACTGAAATAAAGAAAGAAATGTTTTATTCTCGACAGTGCGAGACACGCCTGATCACGCATGACCATGGTGATACAACAAGGACTGGTTAAGGTAAAACGACACAAGTTTATAAGTAACATATGGATCCATGTGATAAGTGTGCATTAATGCATGTAGGTAAGAACGAGTGTTGTTGTGTTGCTGGTGGGTGAACCAACGGGCATCAGCGCGCGACTGATGACTGCTCGCCTACGACTCGGAAGAGATAAGTTTGCTACTTTTATAAGCACATACGGTCCGACCATGTGTTATCCTGATGACACGCGTGATCAGTTCTACACTGAGCTATCCTCCGTGATACGGTCTGTGCCGAGGAGCGACCGACTATTTCTGCTGGGTGATTTCAACGCGCGCGTTGGGCGTGATGCATCAGCGTGGACAGATGTTATCGGTGCGCATGGCATTGGTCCAACGAATGCGAACGGTGACAGGCTGCTCTCACTGTGTGCCACTCACGGCCTGACGATCACGAACACTCGGTTTGCACTGAGTGCGAGTGATATAGCAACTTGGACGCACCCACGGAGTGGTCACGGTCATCTGCTCGACTATGTCATCGTACGTCAGCGTGATATACGTGAAGTGCGCATGACACGTGTACTGCGTGGAGCTGAGTGTGGCACCGATCACAAGTTGGTTCGGACCAAACTGTACATATATATTCGTAAATCGATGTATTGCACTCCCGCCGTGAATCAGTCGTAAATTTAACATTCTTTCCCTCGGTACTGTGGCGAAACGTATTTCGCTGGAGAAGGCGATGGCTGCACGCCTGCGTGGTGATGTGGACTGCATAGCCACAGTGGGCGACCTGTGGCACCACATTCGCGACCAGGTGACAGCTGCTGCCGAGGAGACCATCGCGCGCGCAAACTGTAAGCGGCCTGATTGGTTTGATGACAAC